TAGACTGGCAAGTTAAAAAGTTGAGAACAAGGAAGTTGCTTTCGTGAAAGTATTGTGGAGGAATCATTTAGTTGAGGGTGCTACTTGGGAGGCCTAGACCCAGATGAAGTCCCGATATCGTCGCCTATTTCCTTCTACTCTAGCTTGAGGTAATGAGTCTCCTCTTGGTTTTATCCTTGTTTGAGGTCATGTGTGTGTTTAGATGTTCCCATGATTTCCTTATGTTATGCATGTTCATAAAAAAAATTTCTTTTTTAAAGAAAATGAGTTTATATATTTGATTTTCTTCATGTTGTAGTACATTGAGTATGAGCTGCCTATAGACATCATGAGATCAGTTGATGAACATGTTCAACATATGCTTACTGAGAACGAATTGCATATGAGCTCCACGAGATGGTGTTGAGCATGTTTTTAGCTTAGAAAAGGTAGTTCCTCCTTCAACACGAGTAAATTTGAAATTTCATGCATATTAGGTTGTTGGATGTAGTTCCTACCTTCCTTTGAGATGCATTGAGTATGTTAAGCTTGGAGATAAAGTTCCTCCTTGGTTGCGTGCATTTAGATGAGTTGCATATATGATGGGCTGCTATTATTGAGTATTTTCCTTCGAGAGGTGCCTAGAATCTCATTCGAAGATGAATGATCCCAAGAAGGAGATAATGAAACACCCCATATTTAGCGAAAGGAAAATATTCACATCTTAGTCGACTAGGCGATCAGCCGAGTAAACTTTGCGATCCGCCAAGTGGAACCTCCTCGTCTTTTGGCCTGATACCTGATGTCATGCATTCTGTAACTTTACACAAGCTAAGTTGGGTTCGCCATTCCAATAGGTGCGTTGCTGAAGTAGACTCCCCCATCGCCTAAGTTGACTTAGCCCCAAAGTCGACTTACTGTAAAATTAGGCGAGCTAAGGGCTCATTTGGCGAGTCGCCAAGTGCTCTTTGGCAAGCTCCAGCTTAACGATTATTAGTTTTTAAGTTGGGGTCTTAAATGTCTTTTCAAATTTATTTTAATTCGATACTACGCCGTTTTTACCTTCATCTAAATATCTAAACAAGTATCCTATCTCAAATTTCCTAAATTTAAAAAAAATCCTAAATCGTCCTCTCAAATATTTCGCTCTCTAGATATTGAAGAAGAAGAAAGAGTTGGATCTCGGATCAAGGTCAAGTCTTCATTCCTAAATCATTTGTGGGCTTTGTAATCAAGTTATGATGGCTTTTATCGTGACCAACGACACTATCCTACGGTATGCGTGTCTACCATCGTCTATAATATAGTAACCCAACCAAGGGTTGGGGTCGGGTCCCAAGGGAGCGGTTTAGAGAATCAGTAGCGAATTAGAATTTCCTTTCAATTAGTCGTAGCTAAAAACATGTGCGATAAACTACATTGTAAATTAAAAGGGGTGACACAGAAGTGTCAAATATCAAAAGGGGTTTTGTAACAATTGATAAAACAGCATAATAAACAAGAAAATCAAGTATGGGGAAGGTTCTTGGGATGTGACTGCAATACAAGTTAAGATAAATCGCTGGGTACATGCTTTCAATAGGAAATTTGTAAGACAATAGTGACTAGGATAACCTTTAAATGGAAATAAGTTCCCTCTCGGGCAACTTACCCCGTTTCAAATGCGTTCCTCTCGGACACCTATTTGCCGCTTGAAAACCAGCCTACGCCTTACGCCACTCACTATCTCGAGCTGAGTGTTAGGATATGGGACTAGGGCTCAACCTCTCGGGCTGAACCTCATGTCGACTCACCCCTTAGGCCAACAGTCTAGTGGTTTTGGTTTCGCGACCTCCCTCTCGGGCAACCCGAAAACACATGGGTGGCTTTGTATTTGCAAATACAAACCCTTTAGATTAAACCACAACCACTAGGTGAAATCACCGTTAAAATACATCTAACCTATTAGCAAGCAAGACCCAATAAGAATATCAACCCATATTTGCTAAATCACACCACAAGAATGGGGTTTTTTAGCCACACATCAAGAATAAGAAATTATACCTAACATGATAAAGAAATCAACTGGGTATAAGAAATTAAACCTTGAATTAAGCTACGGAATAAGAATAAAGAAGACCCACTTCCAACTTGGGGAAGATGAACTCCTTTCATCAAGTGTCCACAAAACCCTCTCCAAACTCGAGAGAAAAATACAGAAAAATACTATAGACTATTAACAATTTTTACTCTAAAAATATTCCTGAGAAGACTAAAATTCTAACTAGTATTTATAGTTTTCACTGATTGTGCTGCGGAGGATCGTTCGGCGACATTAGTCGATATTGCCGATGAACTTGGCGATCCAACCTTTAATCAGCTCATCGCCTTTAGTGTCTTGCCATCAGCACCCTCATATTCTGGATCATTGGGCGGTACAGTACTGCTTCGCGGAACTAATCGGCGACTCGCTGACTGCTCCTTTCCTCGCCTTTTGATCCACTTCCTTCAAGGCTTCGCGTACTGGAACAAAACGGTGGTGCATGTCAATTCGGCGACTCACCAAGTTGGACTCGGCGATCCGCATACTTTCATTTCTTGTTCTTTTCATTCCTTTTTTGCTCTGTTTTGCGCCTAAGTGTCCATGCTTCCAGTAAAAACTTCAAAATACCTGAAACTTAAGCATTTTAATCAGGTATTGAGATAAAACAAGCATTCGAGGACCCTATTTTCTATTAAAATAAATCCCCAAATGAGTCCAATTTGTGGACTCATCAACACCCCACTTAAACTTTTGTTTGTCCTCAAGCAAACTCAAGTTCAGTAGTTCAAATAGGGTGCCTCCAACAGTGCTACACAAGACTAAATCATGAATGCACACAACAAGACTCAATTTACTTATGCAAGGATTACTTGTGTACTTAAAGATTCAAATTGTGGCACACCATTACCAAAGATTCTCATGCTCGCAATACTTGCTACTTGTGCAAGTTCAAGCTCAACAAAAGTATCTAAATGCCCTCACATAAAGAATGAATCCATATTCACACACATATATGAGTCAATTTAAGATCAGGAAACAAATACAATGCTCACACTCAAAAAGAGGAACATAATGCATATTTTCACCCATAGGTTTGCCCTTATTTTCCAATTGACTTTGATTCGGCTTACTCAAGATCAAAAAGGTCTTTCTAAGACTTGTAATGGGGCTGAGTGCAAAGGTATGGTCATTTAGGCTCAGTGACTTTTTCCTCATGAGTTGTGGCATTCTCAAGGCATTCCCTTCTTTTCCTTTATCAATTCTTTTTCTAGTGCTTTTAAGTCACCATTCTTTATTCTCCTCCATGGATTGCTTGAAATCCGATTCCCTTCGTACTTCATTCCATATTTCTTTTCTTTTTTTCTTTTTTTTTAATTGAATTGAAGGGGTTCCATTTTTATGCAATACCATGGGTTAAGGGGGACTTTTCTTGCACTTCTTGACTTCTCCTTTTCCTTTTCACCACACCCCCAACTTAGGCTTTTGGCCTAAGTTGGCTATTCATTGAACCACAACTCAGGTGGATTGTAGGTAGTGGTTCAAGTAAGGTCTAGGATTCATCAAGGTTCTTCCAAAGAAAGGTAAGGCACAAAGGGTGTTCAAAAGAGTCTCACACACTCATGGGTAGGCCACAAAAGAGGTATATGTCAAATTTGGCTCACACTCTTTAAAGTTTCCTAAGATCATCTCAAGAGGATTCCTTTATAAATTAAACAGACTAACAGGGCAAATTCTAGGTTTATTCATGCATGGTTCAAAGTAAGCTAATCACGCAAGACATCGATACTTCAATCAAACAACACTAGACATGTTCTCTAGTGTGCAACGGTCATCACAAGAAAATCAATTTGATAAATAGCTAGTCACAACGAGATGTAAAGAGTGCACATATTGTCTATGTAACTTCATTTGGCCTCGTCGTAGTCGTGCATTCATGTTTGTTGAATTGGGAGCACTATTCAAATCATCGGTATTGATCGAAACTGAGATTCAAATTTATTGCAAAAGAACAGCCGCTTTCAACACAAGAGGTGGCGAATATTTTTCGGAAGGATGAAAATTATTTTCAATTAGAACAACAGGAACCACGAGCTCAAACATCCACAGAAATGCAGTATTTAAAACAAAAATTAAAGCAGACAACCTAAATATATACAGAACAAAACATGAATGTCAACACAAAAGGTGTGGGCCTCACCTCACCACAAATAAAAGCAGTTGTCCAGAAATGCAAATAATAAGTGTTAGATGGGAATCGATAAAGTAAACCAGTTGACCCATAGATATTCAGATCAACTAGTTGCAAATGAGGTTAGATTTCTCAAAAATAACTCGGGGTGTTGAAATACCAACCTTGTGTGAAGATGCTTGGCTGCCATGCAATCCACAAGTGAGCACAATTTAGCAATGCAAATGCTCTAATAATACATGAAATATAAAACTAGGATGCAAGTGTGAGTTAGGGCGTATGAAAAGGTGAGGTAAGTAGTAAATCAGACACTTTGAAACCTTTGCTTGGAGAACTTTCCAGTTATCTCCTATTCAGTGACTTTAATTATACTGGCATGTTCAGTCGGAGGCATGCCGAATATTTAGCTTCCTCGCGAAAGATTACAGGAGCTCTAGTTGCAGGTGAGTCTAAACAGTGATTTGTATTGTGGTCGCCTACAGGGTTGGCGATTCGCCGCTAAAATATTTTTAAAGTGCGCTAAGTTTTATAGACTCCAAACCTAGACTAGGAGAGTTCAAACGGTGGTTAATAGTGCGATCGCCGAACTAGTCCGCGGTTCGCCAAAGATATCCTGAGCTTCATCGATTCTTTCTGCGTGTCATTGAATGGACTTGTGGTGCGCCTATTTGGATTGTTCGTTCACTATCCACGCTTCTATCTGGACAATCGACATATTTTTATTTTATCAAACATATATAATTGGTAAGAACTTGGGTTGCCTCCCAATAAGCGGCTTATTTAACGTCGTGGCTCGACGTAGGAATACTATCAAGCATCCTCCAGATACATTTCTTCAACTAAAGTGATTTCCTGGCAGTCCCCAAGGTAGACGTTAACTTTAAATGGGGGTCCCTCTTTACCTTCAACTTCTGTGGAACCATTGGTGAACACTCGTGTCACTCTGAAAGGCCAAGACCATTTGGATTTTAGCTTCCCTGGAACAGCCTTAGTCGCGAGTTGTACAATAACACCCAATCTCCCACATTGAATTACCTCTGGACTATCTGTGTGTCATGCCATTTCTTCATTTTGTCTTTGTAAATGGCTGAGCTGTCGTAAGATCTGAGCCTGAACTCATCTATTTCATTCAACTCGTCCAACCTCTCCCTTGAAGACTTTGTCCAATCTAAATTCAGAGCTTTCAATGCCCATAAGGCTTTGTGTTCTAGCTCAACAGGTAAATGGCATGATTTACCAAAAACTAGTTGATATGGGGACATTCCTATAGGTGTCTTATAAGCAGTCTGATATGCCCATAGGGCGTCGTCAAGCTTTCTAGCCCAGTCGGTTCTACTGTCGTTTACTGTCTTGGATAGAATGCTTTTGATCTCATGATTTGACACCTCAACTTGTCCGCTCGTTTGGGGTGATATGGAGTGGCGACCTTGTGTTTTACTCCGTATTTGCTCAATGCACTGGAAAACCACTTATTGCAAAACTGCGATCCTCCATCACTAATGATTGCTCTTGGAGTGCCAAACCGTGCAAAGACGTAGCATTTCAAAAATTGGACAACGCTTCTTCCTTCATTATTTGGGACTGCGACAGCCTCCTCCCATTTGGATACATAGTCCACAGCTACTAAGATATACTTGTTTCCAAACGAGCTGACAAATGGGCCCATGAAATCGATTCCCCACACATCGAATAATTCAATTTCCAAAATAGGTGTAAGAGGTAACTCGTGCCTTCTTGACACTCCTCCTTGCTGCTGACATTGAGGACATCTCTTTGCAAAATCATGGGCATCTTTGTAAAGAGAAGGCCAATAATAACCATTTTGGAGAATCTTAGCTGCAGTACAGTTTACACTATGATGACCCCCGATTGGTGATGTGTGTCAAGCACGGAGGATCTCTGTTGATTCTTCTTCCGGAACACACCTTCTTATGACATGATCAACACATTCCCGAAATTAGTATGGCTCGTCCCAGAAGTTTCTTTTAACATCAAATAGGATCCTCTTTCGTTGGTAAGAGTTTAACTCAAAGGTAATCAACCCACATACGATGTAGTTTGCAAAGTCAGCATACCATGTAACGTGTGTGAGTGACAGTGTGAATATCTGCTCGTCTAGGAATGAGTCATTTATTTCCTTTTCCTGCTCAGTACCTTCTTTTCTCTTTAACCGCGATAGGTGATCTGCAACTTGATTCTCGAAACCTTTTTGATCTTTTACCTCAAAATTGAATTCTTGCAAGAGTAGCACCCATCTTATCAATCTTGGCTTCGCATCATTTTTTTCCATGAGGTATCGGAGTGATGCATGGTCTGTATGAACAACTACTTTAGTGCCTAGCAAGTATGCTCGGAACTTTTCGAAAGCATAGACCACTACTAGCAACTTTTGTTCATTCACTGTGTAATTTCGCTGGGCACTATTTAGAGTCTTGCTTGCATAATAAATTGGGTGAAACAATTTGGTACGCTTTTGCCCCAATACTACACCTATTGCCATCCCACTCGCATCACACATTACTTAGAATGGTTCTGAACAATTGGGGCTGATGATATTTGGTGTGGATATCAATTTCTCCTTCAAGCATTTAAATACTACCATATAAGCATCATCAAAGTAGAATTTCACTTCCTTCTCTAAGAGTTTGCATAGCTGTTGTGCAATCTTTGAGATATCCTTAATGAATCTTAGGTAGAAACCTACATGGCCCAAGAAACTGCGAATGCCCTTTACTGAGATCGATGGTGGTAGCTTCTCAATAACCTCATTTTTTGCTTTGTCAACTTCCAGCCCCTGGTGCGACACTTAATGCCCAAGGACAATGCATTCTTTCACCATGAAATGGCATTTCTCCCTATTTAGGACTAGATTAATTTCCACACACCTTTGGAGCACTCGCTCTAAATGTGTCAACCATTCTTAAAATGTGTCCCCCACGACTAAGAAATCATGCATGAAGACTTCCAAAGAGTCCTCAAACATATCCGCAAAGATGGACAACATGCATCGTTGAAAAGTTGTCGGTGCATTACAAAGTCCGAATGGCATCCTTTTGAATGCAAAGGTCCCGTAATGGCATGTGAAGGTGATTTTCTCTTGATATTCTGGTGCGATAGATATCTGGTTGTATCCGGAGTATCCATCCAAAAAACAATACCACCCTCTCTCTGAAAACCTGTCAAGCATCTGGTCCATGAAGGGCATTGGAAAATGGTCCTTTTCAGTCCATGAATTTAGATTTCAATAATCCATGCACACCCTCCATCCCGTTATAGGTCTAGTCGGAAAAAGCTCTCATTTAGCATTTGCGACCACTGTTATGCCACCTTTTTTTGGTACGCATTGCACTGGGCTGACCCATTTGCTGTCTGAAATCGGATAGATTACTCCTGCATCAAGCCACTTGATGATTTCCTTTTTTACTACCTCTTGCATCGGAGGGTTCAACCTTCGCTGATGCTCCACACTGGGTTTGCATTCACTGTCCAGCCAAATCTTATGGGTGCGGATACCGGGAGGGATGCCCACGATATCAGCTATGGTCCATCCGATCACTTTTATGTGCCTCTATAGTACCTCAACAAACACTTTTACCTGCTCTTCACTCAGATTTACTGCAATAATCACTGGCAGAGTGTTGTTAGTCCCCAAGAAAACATACTTGAGATGGGATGGGAGTACTTTCAGTTCTAGAGTTGGCGGCTCTTCAATTGACGGCTTTGCAGGTGGGCTGTCTCAGTTTTTTAGGTCGATATACAACTTAATTGGATTACGTGCATATTCTCCTAACCCTATTAGGGCTGCGATCATTTCATCATATTCCTGAAATTCCGATTCGTCATGATTTGCAAGTATTGACTCAAGAGGCTTATTCCTGCGCAGCAGATGGCTCACACTAGCCACTGCCTCATCTATAACATCTTCAATATACACTACATGGATATCACTTGGTTGTTTCATTGATATGCATATGTTGAAAGTTACCTCATCATCATTCACACGGAATTTTAACTTGCCGCTTTCAACATCCACTAATGCTCTGTCGGTTGCTAAGAATGGCCTTCCCAAAATAATGGGAACCTCAACATCAATGTCACAGTCTAAAATCACAATGTTAGCTGGAAATATGAATCGATCTACTTTGACCAAGATATCATAGAGGATTCCAACAGGATGCTTGATCAATCGATATGCCATGAGAAGTCTCATTGTAGTTGCCTTTGGTTCTCCCAATCCAAGTTTCTTGTATATGGCGTATGTCATGAGGTTGATGCTTTCTCCTAGGTCACATAAAGCCTTGGCAAATTGGAACATTCCAATAGTACACGGGATGGTGAAAGCACCAGGGACTTCTCTTTTAGTGATTAACTCTTTTGTCATGATCGCACTGCAACTATGAGGCACTTCAATCAATTCATAATCCAAGATCCTCTTCTTGGTGACTAGCTCTTTCATGAATTTAGCATACCCTATCATCTCCAGCAATGCTTCCACCAAAGGAAGGTTGATGGACAACTTCTTGAACACATACAAGAATTTTTTAAACTTTTCATCTTCATTCTTCTTTTTCAAACACTGGGGAAAAGGTGGAGGTATTTTGGGTAAGGGCTGTATTATTTTTGGAGTTTCATTGTGTTGATTCATTCCTTCTCATACTTTGTTGCCAAGGTTTTGATGATCGGTAATTTCTGCTTCTTCCCTACCCTGATTTTCCTCACGTTCATCTCATTCATTACCTATCTCTACCTCCCCGCTATGGGTAATTACAACCATCTCTCCTTCCTCATTTCCTTTGACATCTTGGTTGTTAGTTGGGCCGATAGGAGATTCAATTGACCTTCCAGCATCTTGCTGGCATTAGCATGAGAGTTCACTTTACTATTTAACGAATAAAAATCATCTCTCATTCTTTTTAGAAAATCATTAGAGCCTTCAACTTTCTCAAGAATTCGTGTCAGAACATCATTCACCCTAGGGCTGCTGTCACTCCCCCTTGATGTCGGGCTGTCACTCAATTGAATTTGATATTCTTCATGATCGTTATGCTCAGTCCACTCTTGGAAATATCGCGTAGGTCCTTCACCTCTAGGGTAGTTCCAACCTTGATTTCCAACCCGCGGTTAATAGTGTGGGTGGAAACCCTCATCATTCCTTATGTGGTTCCAACCTTGATTCCCTCCCAATTTCAAGTTATCGGAAAAAGAACCCCTCTCTGCGCGAAACACTTCACAGTTGCCTTTCATGTGCTCTTGTAAATCTTCCATCTGAGACAACATCTTTTTGATGTTTTCATCCCTCTCTTTTTCTTTAACGAGTTGCTCTTGCGGCAGCCTGAAACATAGAGGGGAAACATGAACTTCTTTGGTGTACCAACCTTGATTTACTCTCGCCATACCATCTAGGAGAAATGAGGGCACCTCAAAGGGCTGTAGAATTATGCCGCCTTGAACCAATTGATCAGCTATCCCTTTGTTGACTGAATCAAGACTTCGGTAAAAATATTAGAGTAACAACTCACTTGGCGTCCCATGTATTGGGCATTTTCGCAGAGACCTTTTATATCTAATCCACGACTCATGAATTGGTTCACTCACTTTTTGTTTAAAATTATGAATGTCGTTCCTCAACTTTTTCATCATTTTTGACTGGGGAAAGAATCTATTTTGGAAAGCTGTGACTAATTATTTCCATGATGTGATAAAACTTTTGGGAAGCTCAGACAACCACGTAGTGGCTGCTCCTGTCAGTGACAATGGGAATAAGCGAAGCCTGATGGCTTCTTACGACCAATTTTTGAATGACAATGGAGCACATACGTCCAAGAAGCTTTGGATATGTTCATGTGACTCTTCATTATCCAATCATCCGTATAGGCCCCTTGAATGTATGAGATGAAGTGTTGTGCCAGTGACTTCAAAATTTCCGTTTCCGCAACCCTGCGGCAAGCGAATTGCCCCTATCTCACCCAATGGAGCGGGATCATAAACACTATTAACATCTTCAATTTCGTCTCGGTGCAAATCAATATTCACTGGGTTGTTTGCATGGCAACCGTCCCCCACGTTCTCACTCATAATTTTTATTTTCAACACACACAAGCGAAGCAAAGCTAAAAATTAAGTTAGTAAAATACGAAAGAGAACAAAAATTCTATTAAGCTAAAATTTCTCAAATAACACCATTCCCCTATAGTGGCGCCAGTTTGATGCTTATCGTGACCAACGACACTATCCTACGGTATGAGTGTCTACGATCGTCGATAATATAGTAACCCAACCAAGTGTTAGGGTCGTGTCCCAAGGGAGCGATTTTGAGAATCAGTAGCCTATTAGAATTTCGTTTGAATTAGTCATAGCTAAAACCATTTGCGATAAAATACATTGTAAATTAAAGGGGGTGACACAGAAGTGTCAAATATCAAAAGGGGTTTTGTAACAAGTGATAAAACAGCAAAATAAACAAGAAAATCAAGTATGGGGAAGGTTCTTGGGATGTGACCGCAATACAAGTTGAGATAAATCGATGGGTACAAACTTTCAATAAGAAATTTGCAAGACAATAGTGACTAAGCTAAGCTTTAAATGGAAATAAGTTCCCTCTCGGGCAACTTACCCCGTTTCAAATGCGTTCCTCTCGGACACCCATATGCCGCATGAAGACCAGCCTACGCCTTACCCCACTCACTCTCTCGAGCTGAGTGTTAGGATATAGGACTAGGGCTCACCCTCTCGGGCTGAACCTCATGTCGACCCACTCCTTAGGCCATTAGTCTAGTGGTTTTGGTTTCGCGACCTCCCTTTCGGGCAAGCCGAAAATGCATGGGTGGCTTTGTACTTGCAACTACAAACCCTTTAGATTAAAGCATAACCACTAGGTGAAATCACCATTAAAATACATCTAACCTATCAGCAAGCAAGACCCAATATGAATATCAACCCATATTTGCTAAATCACACCCCATGTATGGGTTTTTTTATCCACACATCAAGAAATAAGAAATTATACCTAACATGATAAAGAAATCAACTGGGTATAAGAAACTAAACCTTGAATTAAGCTACAGAAGAAGAATAAAGAAGACCTACTTCCAACTTGGGGAAGATGAACTCCTTTCATCAAGTCTCCACAAAACCCTCTCCAAACTTGAGAGAAAAATACTATAGACTAATAATAATTTTTACTCTAAAAATGTTCCTCAAAAGACTACACCTCTAACTAGTATTTATTGTTTTCACAGATTGTGTTGCGGAGGATCGTTCAGCGACATTAGTCGAGATCACCGATGAACTCGGCGATCCACCTTTTAATCTGCTCATCGCCTTCAGTGTCTTGCCATAAACATCCTCATATTCTGGATCATTGGTCTGTACAGTACTGCTTCGCGGAACTAATCGGCAACTCACCGACTGCTCATTTCCTCGCATTTTGATCCATTTCCTTCAAGGCTTCGCGTACTGGAACAAAAGGCGGTGCATGTCAATTCGGCGACTCCCCAAGTTGGACTTGGCGATCCGCAAACTTTCATTTCTTGTTCTTTTCAACCCTTTTTGCTCCGGTGCCTAAGTGTCCATGCTTCCAGTAAAACATCAAATACCTGAAACTTAAGCATTTTAATCAGGTATTGAGATAAAACGAGCATTCGAGTAGACTATTTCTATTAAAATAAATCCCCAAATGAGTCCAATTTGTGGACTCATTAGCTTCTCAGCCATGAATTCCTTCCATCCATGAAGTCCTTATGATTCCTTTATTGAGGAGATTACAACCCCAATTTGAGTTAGGGTTTTTTCCAATGTTGTGGGTATTGATGAATGTTGATCAAATTGGATATATTATGATTTTTTATGATTGAATTGATAGAATTGCATGTAACCATGCCTAACCCATGTATAGAAAGATAAAATTGATGTAATATAAGTTTTATGCCATGAAAGGATAATTTGTGAGTTTAGATGTATACAATCTAGGATTGACGAGATACATTTGAATTGAGTCTTATATGATGAATCATAATTAGATTTCTTTGAGATTGAAGCTCATAAGATGATTATGATATTAAATTGCTTGAGATTGAGCATATAGAATGATTATGATAAATAGGGCTTTGAGAGTAAAGATTGTGTTGTCAATTGTTGACAATTGATGTAATTGTTGTGGAAGGGATAGTTCCCACATGAATTTCTTATGTTATGAATGTGAAAGACTTTCTCATATTGAATGATTCTAGGTTGAAAGAGTTTCTCACCAAAAATTAATCTAATGCTAATGATTAAGATATTGATGATGCTATAGGCAATTATTCTTGACCTCCAAATGAGAAGGATATGAGACGATTACTCGTATTGCATGAAGTAGGGATAAAGAGGCTATTACCCTTATTCTATAAAGATGAACAAGAGGCGACTTCACATGTTCTTATGATAGTATTGGACAAGAGGTGAGTACCAATGATCCTTATAGAATGACAAGAGGTGAATACCCATGTCACATGATGTTGGACAAGAGGCCAATACCCATAATCCATTTGTTAAAGTGGACTAGAGGCGAGTACCCATGATCCATATAAGGTCTAGAGGCGACTACCCTTGTTCCTTTGTAGTAAGGCAAAGAGGCGATTCCCCATGTATATAAAAGATAAGGTAGATTATTGTATGATGTATGATGAGCTTGGATTATTGCTTGAGTTTCCTTCCATGATAAGCTTGACTAGAGTTGGATGAACCAAGTCTTGACTAAGAATAAGTTGAGGCTCGTCATGAAGTATTCCTCTTATGTTATGTTCATTTATGTGCATTGATTATGCTTATGACTTATGTTGTTATCTCTTACGCTTATGTTGGTGTTTATGTTTGCTATACTATTTAGTACATGTTTTTACTAACACAGACTCATGCCTACATTCTTATCCAAATGTACGGTCCGTCGACATCGACTCTCATCCCCATTGTTAGAATCTTAGTAGAGCAAGGCTTGATGATTGGTGACTCCATAGTATTCGAGGATATGACCACCATTTCTCTTATGTTCTTTCATTTTATGATTTGACCACTATTGTATGGGTTGTGTCCCAAGATATTCATGTTTTAGATGGTTTGAGACAAAGTGTATTAGACTTGCACTTCATTTATAAAAGACTTTGATATTGTTGAAAAAGTTTTAAATTTCCGTTCATTTCTATTATCTTATGATATTGTCACGACCCGAAAGTACCCCCTAGATGTAACAAGGCACATAGAACCCCAAAAGGCTCCATGTAATCCACTCAACATATCATAACATAAGCAATACAACAATAAAAGTAAAAAAATGCATTTCAAGTCCAAAATTTTCATAAAGGAATGTGGAAGTCTAGACTTGTCTCAATATAGCCATCTTTTACAATAGTCGAAATGAAAAAGGCCATAGCCCATACAACATAGTCCCAAAAGGAAATTTAAAAATTAAACTACTAAGTGATATTTCCATCCTCGATTCAAGATGACTCCCCAACAAGCTAGGAGAAATGAGCAATTCCAAGCTTTAGCAACAATGAGGACCACCTAGAGAACCGGACCCTAGACTTTGGGAAAATGTAGGAAAATATGGGTTAGTACAAAAATGCACTAAGTATGATAGCCTCAAATAAAAACCTTGAAAACATTCAA